GTACGCATCGTTCTGGAAGTCGGGTAATGGGGAGATACTCAGAGGCAGCAACAATGACGTTCGCCACTGAATCATTTCAGGATACTAAACAGCTATTTATCGCCTATCTGAGGGTTGTGTTCTCTGTGGCTACTGTGTAGTACCGACGTAGGCGCTACTCACCCTAGTAGCACAGTGTTTGACAGCAGAAGAAGGCGTCATACCAACTGCCTATACACTGTTCACTGGGAATTGCCATTCTCCGCTCGACTGCATTCAGCTGAAGTCAGGTGGAGTGTCTCACATCTAATAAGGTAAGACAGTTGGCTTAGGTTGTATGTGACTTTAGACGTCCACAATCGCAATGCGTGTCCAGCGTTTAACATACGCCTGGGCCGCAACAGCGTTCCTTGAATTCCTATCTCAGTGCGTCGCCTCAAATGTTATTCAGCCCGATTGAGTGCAAGCAGTGCGTTGTATCCACTTCGCCAATTATGTAGATAACGTGTACCAGTTCACACGTGACTTCGGTCGTGTGGCCGCAGTCAACTATTGCCTCATGATCTTGTGAACGACTCGCGGAACGCGGCGACTATCAAATGTTTGGAACAACGTTTAGAGTTTTGTGCCAGTGTCGGTTCTCACATACAGAGACCCACTTGTTCCCTGCTTCAGCAGGGTCGTGCGTCAAGCGCGTGCCCCACCACTTCAGTGCAGACCGCTGTCGCCGACGCTAACACTTAACGAACGGACACACCGCGCACATCGCTGTTCTCACGTAGACGCGAGGATGGGTGAGAACTGCCGCCAGGTCCACAGGTACCACGTGTCTTGTAACGAAGGTGGCTTCAGTATGGCCTTTCAATCTCGAGTTCGTGCCGAACATGCCTAACACCCCCAAAACGCGCGTTATGTGCGCGCACAACACTGTCCTACTGGGTCGGGCCTCAAATTCCCGCTGATACTCCATGGTGCTTACCAGTGGCTGATTCGGAACTGTTCCTCAAAGCAAATTTGTTGCTTCCGCGCCGGTTGAATTCATCTCGCTTGTGGGAAGGTATTTTGAGGTTGTTTACACACGAACAAGACATTTGTTAGCGGGAATATGACGGTAGCATGGACGCAATCGCCTGAGTAAAGATGTAGACCTGAGTAAATGTTAACTGGCGATGGATCAGTGTGGCGCCAAACGGCTTTGGGTTGGGCCGGCACGGTGAAAAATGCGGGTAGAACTTTTCCATTGGGGACGAACAGCACGACGACAAACGCCGCACAGTCGGACAAAATGATCCACCTAGCACCGTTAACACGTTCCTCCCTGGCCGTGTCTGCGCTAGAACCTTGAGGGCCGACAACATCGGCCACTGACAATTTCTATAAGGAGATAATGCATCTTAAAATGCCAGTCAAGTCTATGTGCGTATTAACCTGAACTTACGGAATGAATCTGATCTGGTAGGCTGCATCCAAATCAGTAGCCGAATCTGCACCATTAGATGTGCTGAATTTTTCAAAAAATCCATCTTGCGCGAGGAAAAATGTATGCCTGTTTAGCATCCCCATCCACAAGTTCTAGCGCTGACCCACTGAAAGAGCACTTCTATCGTCGGCTGAATGGGCCTGTTCCTCACAATGAATCGCAGATGCTGTTGGACTGTCTGGTATTCTGAACGCTGAAGTGATGAGCTCCGTCTGAGAGGCCAACAAGGCTTGGGTTGTTGTAATGATAAAGGTGAGCGGTTGCTGCACTTGTGTGAATATGCTCGTCCATTTCTTGCGAGCATTTACTTCCGACACAGTAGCCGCCAGGAAGTTATGTTGCCTCAAGCATACTGCGTCCAGTCATGGACACGAATTGACCATATCGCGGCCAGTTATAGTTGGAGACTTTGCGCTCCGTATTGATACTCATTTTGAGCACACTTGTATGTGATGAGGATGATAGTGCATTTATTATGGTTCTTCATAGCAGCTGGGATACAGCGACTTGCACTTACACTTGTTGGATTACATCCGATCTGACCGTACCCGTTTTGTTTACTTTGTTCTGTTCTGTTAAACAGCATATTCCTTGTCTATTTGCGCGTCTTTTCCCATTTTGATTGTTTGTCGGTTGGTATGCTCTAACTCGCTAAAGATCACCTAGATCAGATTACACTAGATCAGACTTCATACAGTTATTTTTCTGTTCTTTCTGCTGTTATTCTGAAGCACATCTACTGTCTAGTTTGTGTGCGTATTTTCCTACTTGTTCTGTGTATTGTTGCTTGATATCCTGTGTACGGTTGCAATTGATATGAAGGTGCCAACCTGTTAAAAAGTCGCATGTTCCTCGTGATCTTGCTAGGTTCAAGGAGTGGCTACAGCCCAGCCACTGCCTTGTGTACGTCAGGTATGCATGATTACCTAATCAAAAATATCACAAGTGCTGCTGCTGTGCATGCTGCGTTGATGAAACGTGACTCCTATCCATATGCCACCCAGTGTTATTCCTTGGGGTTTACACCAGATATGGAATGGTGGATGGAGCTCTGGGCGGTGCATCGCAAGCAAACCATGGCCTCTATGCGCAGGCGTCCTGTGGCTGTCCCATGGAGGCTGCGGTCACAGGCAAATCCGGAAGCGGATGCCGCCGAATGTCTACTGAGCTGCTGGTGCAGTACCGTGGATGTTCATGTCGACACTGTTAGTGCGTAGGATATTGGTAAGTGGCTACAGCAGATGTTCCTATTGTGTGGCAAAGTACGCTGGTATCAGGATTGGCTAAGTGCCTGTTGAACACAGTTTAAGATTATTGGTAACAGGCTCACCAGTCGTTGTTATTGACAAACATATTTTTGTGGCGAGTTAAATTACTAGCCTGGGCAATTGATCGCACCGCAGTCTCCGGGGATTTCACCGGTACATTCCGACTGGAAGCTAATACCATGAGAGTTGCAGAGATTCCATGTGAAACTTCCTACTAACCTGAAGAGAGATCGCAAAGCTTGATTATTACATCTTACATGACAGATGGAAACAGCCGATGTTCTACGTAATCGTCGGGAGTTAGTTCATCTCTTATGAGGAACTGGATACAGGAGATCTACTTTTAGAGAAACTGTAGACGAAGAGCGGTCCGTCTGTTAAAAACTTCTGGACGGTAGGGCTGCGCACTTTGAAAGGTAATTTAGCAGCTTCCTTCACGGCCAATGATAGCACTGCTCTTTGGGCATTCGTTTTGGATACAACTTCGCACGCAAAGTCAGACTTAAGACCGAACGGCTGGAGGTGAATGAGATTGCTGGACCAGATGAAATTCCTCCAGTTCCCTTCGAATTCGGGGGACCTACCTTTGAAGCTGATTAGCACGCATCATTAGTAAAACTAAACAGGAAACACTCTAAACTGACTAGATCTGCTGCTTTACAGTCAGATTCTTACAGTGGGCTAATGTTCGAAATGCCTCAATCACAGAGCTATCCGTCTGATCACAGTCTTCTCCAAGCGGCTTACACGTATCGTTTATTATAGATTAAGCGGCCTCCGCGAATGATGGCTTCACGAACAGCGGACCGGTTTTCGTCAAAATCCGGACTACATTGCTCCAGCTTCCGCAGCATAAGACGAACTTTCTTCTCTTCTAGAATGTTGATGCAATCAGCTCGGGACATATTTAAATACTTGTGGAACCAGGAGGCGAATGTCATGCCAGTAACAGCATGATAATGGAATTCATTGATTTGCCGAATCAGCGTTTCCGGAAAAGGGACACTCACTTGGCCATAACCCTGAGCTTGACTGTATTGACAGATTTTGTGTCATCGCCACATTCAGCTTCACCTACGATTTGGCATAATATGGCTGCTGTTGCTGCAAGTGTCCGCCATTCTTCAAAACTGATTTCCATTTTTGGGTTTGATTGAAAATCTTCGTCGTCATTGTTGTGTCGATTCGACTGCGGTAGGTGTCACCCCTGGTCCGCTCTGCCTGGCGCCCAATCCAACCGCGGAAACCAAAAGTCGAAGTAGACGGCTTACTCTATGAAAAGGATGGTTCTATATATGTCAGGCATGGTCTTCGGTGTTTGGCCACAACCAATATGAAGGCCTTCTGCTTGATAGGTTTGCCTTATTTGGCCGTTTGTTTGCGTCAAGACACGGTCCTCTTTTACTCAGTCGAACTTTACCCAAGTTTGCCAGCCAGTCGCACGGCGCCTGTGTGCCTGATGTGTCCGGCTTTACCCCTGCCACGGTACCCAGCCCATCACATGGTAGAGGCTCACCTGAGTTCACCAGCCACTCATGTTGTGCCGTAGAGTCGCACGGAGATTTCCGCTCCGTTCGGCCGCCTAACATCATGTACGGGCATCAAGACATGAAAGCGAGTCAAGCGACTAGCTTGTGGGTAGTAACTCGAGGATTGAATCTTCCTTAACCTTAAATTCATGGATCTGCACCGCCTCAGCAACTGTGGGGTGCAGTGACATGGAAAATGCGAGAATTTGGCACGGTTGTTATGACGCTGCTACCATGATGATAGGATGACTGCGAATGCAGACGAGGAAATTGCGGAAGAAGCAAAATAAGCGGTATATCGGAAAACAATCTGTAGAAAGATAATGAAGACTCCCCTTTTCTTGGGTATGGTGGTATGATTAAATATGAAATATATGGTGGGAGCATATTGCGTGTGGACTGCGTTAAGCCCACATGGCTCGCGGCATACCGAGGTAGAAGATATTCGAGAATAGTAATGAAGATACGGTATCCAGTAGGGAGGATTTCTAGGTTTCATAAGTAAGAAGCAACAAACAAGGAACGCGTGTTTTAACCCAGGGTTCAGTTAGGATGCAGATATTGTTGCACTGATCAATAAACTTAGCTGCCAACAGGCGGATCGCCCATTCCAGTGTCTTAATGCTATGTGAAAACAAATCCCCCACTACACCGTGTTTGTGTTTCCGGCGAGAAAATCCGTTACCCGTCACAAGACTACACATCCAATTGTTACCATGTGACTAATATGTGTAAACCACCCACCATTTGTTGTTCCAGCTGACCCAAATGTGATCCGATCTCTGTTAGTGTCCAGTCCAAAACACCAACAGTTTCCTTCCATATGGCGATCCAATATTGCGAGTGACACCAGCCCTCCGTCCCCAAATCTGAAGGAAAAGGTGAACAGATGCAACGAATGCAAAAGTTTCGCAACATCAGCTAAACAAGCGATTCTTCTAGTAGTTCGTGTCCAGGTAAAAAATACGTGGGTAGAAGACGATTTTCGGCTGAAGAATGAATGGCTTCTCTCATGATCTGTACCGGTAAGCTTAACTCGCACTCGCATACAGAGGGCAACTAAACAAACAAGTGATGGGAAAACCAAAACTTCGCTGTTAAGTCCACAACAAAACAAGGCAGACCGCCAGCGGTTTTTGAACGAGAACAACCAGTTTGACCCGGCTTGCTGTAACAGTCTGAGTGCAGTAAAGGCAAGAAATACCACATTGTTGCACTAAGTTGACTGTCAGTAGTATTACTGTGGACCGTTAGTGCCTGCTCATCGAAGAGGTCGATGGTTTGCATGAATGCATAGTCATGTGATGGCACGATTTATGGGCATGATTGCGTTGAACTTACATTTGCATATATGCCTTATTCGAGACCTCAGATTCACTTCGGTTCAACCAGTACCTCAGCCAAAAGTCAATTGGCATAGGTAATACGCGCTTATCCAGCTGGACTGGAACTCTTAGACTGAAATCCAAGCTTACTGATACGTTAGCTTAAATGCAGTATTTGGGCTTTGTTGAGCTTTGATGCTCTTTTTTCATCCAAAGAGAAGGGTCACCCTTAATGGGCAGTCTCATAGATGTGTCTTCCCTCACCATCCTTGGCCCTGGTTTCAAAGATCCTCACGGTTGGATATACGCCTGGATGCATCGGTGAAGTTATTGTTTTGACATTAGCATTCTGGCAATCAGTTCATTCTCTGGAAGAAAGTTGATCAAACAACTTCACCTGGTACCATTAAATGAGGTCCGCATCAGCTTCCACTTGTACTTTATTGAAATAAAGCTGGTAACCTGCTGGCACCTGTCAGACCAAGTTGCTTTTCTTTAGGTGATCCTCTTTATACTCCTTGCTATTTTTGAGGTTGGTGTGAACATTCAAGAAGGAGAATCAGTTCTGTTGCAGCACTTTGATGTGTCGCCTACTATTAGATGAAGGAAATACCAAAACGTAATCTATCAAACGATGGTAGTATGAGCATTGCTGTATTTCGCAATATACGTATTTACTATCATCATGCATAAACCAGCTGCTGTAGGCCCTATTGAAGTGCCTATCGGTTAAACCATACCATGTGTTCAAGATGCGAAAATCAACCTACTCCTTGAACGACAACAATAATTCTGTTGTTAATCAAACTAGTATCGACGACCAATCTCCGGATTTTTCTCTTAATTCACGGATGCAATCCACCGTCTAGCGCAGTGAAATGATTGTAAACGAAGGTTCTATTTCAAAAGGGCACACCTAATCAGATTATGTAAATTTTGTCGAGGACTGTGATAAGCTCAGAGGAAGGTACGAAGCCTTACTGGTCCACTCTCGCAAAAGAACCGCTAAAATGGCAACTAGGATATTTGGGCAGCGCCAAATGTCAAACCGCCATGCATACAACTGCCTTTCACCCAATGCTGAATTGCTTCTACGTGGCATCCTGTGAGAATTTAGGACACAGTTGCTCCCTGTCTACTCACTACGTCTGAACTCATGGCCGCCCTTAAAGTCGTCTAATGTTATTTTGATATATTTGTCTTTCGCAAGCAACCCTACTTTGAGGCGTCGGCACTACGTAAGCACACGTGTAGCAAAGAGGACTAGAGATACTGTGAAGTCTCCAACACCTAAGCAAAGTCCTTATAGCGTACGTAAGAAAACTTCACCACTACCCGTTGTTTTCGTGAGTATGTTTAAGGAAGCAAATCCCTAGGCGAACAAGCGAGGCGCCCATCATTGTTACAGAGCCAAAGCATTGCAGCCGAGCCAAACTCGCCCGCATGGATTGGGATGGGCAACAGGGTGAAACGGCCATTTAACACGAAGTTGAGCTTTCTGGAATGTTCCGCTTGAGCTTTAACTACCATGCACGAACTTCGATGTTGCTTTTATAATGGACGGTACGATGTTGCATTCATGATGCTTCTTCATCGCAGTTGGGCTAAACCAGCTTATACTTCAACTAGGTCTTTTTAATGTGGACAAAATTGATTACATTTTATTTGGTTTGTTCTGCGTACTTGATAATCTTCTCCCAACTTGCACACGTCGCTCATGCAAATTGTAGTAAACTTGCGTAATTGTATCGCGTGGTATTTTTTTAAATAATTCGGACATCTTGTACTTATCACGGTTTCACTTATAACCAATTTCTGCTATATGCTCATTTAGGGAGTATTTATGTCGTTATATGCGTTTACTTTATACGATATAGGCATTTTGAGTGATTGGCTGTTGTTTGACATCCCAGGTGTGGCTGCGCTTCATGTGCATGTTGACAAGGTGCCTACCTGTCTATTACCCACTACCTCGTCCATACTGACTCCAGGAGACAGTTGGTCGTTGCTGGAGGGGACCGGGTGCACTGTCCTTGTGGTCGTGCTAGGCTCGAAGAGTGGTTCCATGCAGTCAGTGTGGAGCGGACTACGGTCCAGCCACTGCCTTGCGTGCCCTTGATTCCCAAATGCAGCGTGCTTGTGTTTGCCTGTGAAGGAGTGTGGGCCGGCTCCGTTGGTGAAACGTGGCTCACATCCACATGCCTCCCGGTCTTATTCCTTCGGGTTTACACTGAATATGGGGTGTGTGGTTGGAGCTGAGGGTGGTGTAGCGGAAGCCATCCATGGTCCCTCTCTATAGGCGCAGGCGTCCTGTGGCTGGCCACAGTGACAGGCAAATCCGAAACCGGATGCCGCCAATCATGATTGGTTTATACCACCTTGTTACTCTGCTCGTCCTATCCGGTCTTCTTCTCTCTCTCCTGTGGTCGTGGGGGCCAGTGACCTCGTGTTCCGATTCACACGCAACCGTCAATTCAGGTGAGTGACGAACACTTCAGGTGGCGGTTGATGGAACCCTAATCAAAATGTCTATATCAGCTGACGCGCTCAAGTTCATTCTGCTGCAGCAACAAGCACAATTTGCGGCTTCCCAACTCAGGCTGATCGAAACTTTTACGCGTCAGCTCTCATTCCAGACCGGTCCACAGCTTAAAACCTTCACGCCGTCCGAGTCGATAGACGCTAGTACTGACCGTATTATTGAATTTTCCTACGACCTCAAGTTTGAATCCTGGTACAAGCGTTAGGAAGATGTGTCCCGCGTTGAACTTGGAGACCATGATGACGATTGGAAAGTCGGATTGCTGAAAGGAAACTTGCAACAGCAGGTATGCCACTTTTATTTTGCCTAAAAACACTCGAGATTGCACTTTAGATACGAATGTCAGATACTTTGGCCAAATATTTGAAGTGCAGTCATCCATCTTCGACAAGCGGCATAAATGCCTGAAGATAACCAGGATGGATGTTTGATGACGACGTCACTTACGCTGGCATCATCAATAGCGAGTGCGAAAGCTTTGACATCAAAACCATCGCGGTAAATCAGTTAAAATGCTTCATTTTTATCTATGGCCTGCATTCCTCCAGGGATGTAACGATTCGTATCAGGCTGTTGAGTAAACTTGAACAAGACCCGCAAAGGATTTCCAGACCATCATTTTACTGAATGCGAAGGATTACTCAACCCCAAGCATGACACGCTTATGGTGCAGAGGCAACAGTCAACCTAAAGTCTTAGTGTATTGAAAACCACTTCAAAGTAACCGCTTCCAAGTGAAACCGACCATAAAAAGTGCAGAGTATATCCCAAACCCTCCACTGCCTTTTGGCATTTTGTTCGAATATGTTCATTTCGAAAAATGTTTGTGACAAGTGTCATAAACGGGGACATTACAAAACGCACTGCCGATCCAGACTGCTGTTCAAGCATGCTAGACATCCACGACCGAATTCGACTGTTCCCAAACAATTCAGCAGCCATAGTTTTGTTCAAGCGGCCTACTCTAATGAACATATGACTCACAGAAAGTACGACAGAGTTCACCTGAACCGGCCACAAGTACGTCTTCAGCTGGATACAGCCTCGGACATCCCATCTCCCGCAGAACTTGGCAGTATACTGGTGCTCCCTAAATTAGCCGAACGACACACGTTACACTTAACACTTCAGGAGATCAACATAATTTCATTGGTGAGCTGCAGTGTGAAATGATTTTGCGCCGCTCAAGCGAACGGCATCTTGTACATTACGGAGCTGTCACCTTTGAATGTGCTTTGGCTTGACTGGATCCAGAAGCTTCATCTGTTCGACATACCCCTGCAAAAGCCTCCAGCTCGGACATACACGGTTCTCTTCGGAAGTGGATGAATCAAATAATAAACTGATCGAGCAGCTACGAAGAAAATTCCGTTTGTGTTTAGCAACGACTTGGGAAGATGCACAAGGACGAAAGCAAGACTTAATCTCAAGGACTGTGCCAAGTCGATATTCCTACCCAAAAGCCCGGTACCATACGCTGCGCTACTGATCCTTGACGTGGAGCTTGATCGTTTGAAGCGTGCCGGCATCAAGCAACCTGTGAACTATTCAGCATGAGCTGCACCTGTTGTCGCCCTCAAGAAGAATAATGGAACCGTTCGTACCTGTGTTGACTACTCTACGGGACTGAACGCTGTTTTAAAATGTGCCAGTATACTTTTCCAGTCCACGAAGATTTATTTTCTAAGCTCAGTGGTGGTGCTTATTTTACAAAGTTAGATATATCATCTGCTTATCTTCAACTTAAAGTCGCCGATGCTTCAAACGAATTGCTGACAATCAATACGCACTGAGGTCTTTACCAGTTCAACCGCTTGCCGTTTGGTGTCAAAACAGCACCCAAATTTTTTAACAAATTATGAACAAGATGTTAGCTGGGCTATCAGGAGCCGAAGCTTATTTGGAGGACATTATACTCAAAGGGTCCACCTAACGAGAGCTGACGGAGACTGAATGTCGTTCTTAACCGCCCTAATGACTACGGATTCCAGTTGAGAGCAGA